ATTGCGCTCCAGCGTTCCGTTCAATTTCCTGGAGGATGCGTCCTGCAGTCCGTTCGGTCGTCTCCAGGGCCCTCTTTCGCTGTCACATCGTACCTGCCCTCCCCCCCTCCTTGATGGAGAGTGCGTCACCCGGTCTCGCCCCTCCCGATCGTCGGTTCCGCGTTCGCATGGTGCCCTGCCGCCAATAACATTTTTTCAATAGACGAGCTCTCAACAGAGAAAAAATCTATAATCCGACCATCTCGCTATTCTGAAACTGGTCAGTCATGATGTGGTGATCAAACGTTCGTCCTTTGCGCGCGGTAGACAGGGTCTACACATCAGGTGTGTAAGGGAAAGCCAACATTAAAATGGTTCACTCGCGAGTTGCCACCGCAATCTGCCCGCCGCAATCTGCACCTCCCGCCATACACATACATTCGTTTTCTTTCGCCTCTGCTTGCGGATAAAACAGTTCGATACACACAGCAGTCGGCCCGCCACACGCCAGCCTGTGGGCTACAGGAGCAACTGCTGCTGCACAACACGCGTGGATGTAGGCGCTGGCGTCCGCTTGAACCTTGCACAGTTTGTCGTGGCATCACGCCCCCCGTGAGCTCGAACTGCTTAAAAAAAGAACAGGCATCTTACCCCTTCTCGTGCATTCCTGCTTCCCATTTGTGGGTTTGAGTCAGTCATGCGCGCATCTCTACACTTTCCTACCAAGAAAACCTTGCGGGGTTTGAATATGCTTTTTTTGCGGTTTTCTTTTTTAGGTAAGCCAAGGACTCTCTCACCATCTCAACGTACGGTTCGGCGAAGAAGCAGGCGATGGTGATCGCGCCCGGTCGCTAGTGCCTCGTACGGTCGACGCTCTGGACGAAGATCGCGATCCCACCCGTGACGGTGACTCGTGCAGCAACGAGACGGGCTCGTCATCTCCCCAGCACTCTCTGCGGGAGGAGAGGGTGGGATCAGCAAGAGGAGGAGGAAGGAAAAGGGGACAAATATTTCCGTCTTAGACTGAAGCGGCGGAGCAAGTTTCTTGGTCGTGCGTGGCAGGTACCACGAGAGAAGGAGAAGACAGGTGAGCCGTAGGGTGGTAAGCACCATGCCCTCCCTCGCCGTCGTTGTAGGTAAACATTTGGTCGCTTGCTGCTATTTTGTTCAACCGTTGTGAATAAGTTTATGAGGGGAGATGTGGGCTTCATCTTGGTTCAAGAAAATATATCGTCAAAAGGCGACCGAGGGGCTGGGCCGCCATCGTCCCACCAGGATCGTAGTAGTGGAGCGATGCTTGATTAGCCTCTGAAGGTTTGCTTTTCGTGTTTGAATTTCATCCACGGTAGGGAAACAATCATATGTTGCTCGCTCGCGGCAGAGGGTTCCCGTCGGCGGAGATGCGGCTTCGCTGCAGAAAAGGAATAGTCTCGCGTCGTTTGTTGCTGCTCTTGTTGACGTCTTCATGCTATGAATCGTTTTGACGTCTGTACGGTGCCTCTTCTTCCACGCGCTTCAAGGAAACGAGGAAAGCCCTGTAGCCAGACGGTTACCCACCCGAAGTAATGTCTGGAAAGAACCAATAGACAGACGAAGTCTCCTACCCGTGTTGCGGAATCTGCGTTCGGCAGACCACACGATGCTGCAGTTCAGCCATTTTTCTTTGATCATGTATTTCCGTTTAGCCTCACGACGCGGGGCGTTTTCCGTCAGGGACGCGGTGCGTTGTCTCCTGTTCTTGAGTGTCGTGCTTAGGACACAAGGTTGGCTAACTACCAAGCAGAGTTATCGGCTGCAGTCATGTAGCAGTTGTCGTCGCCGTTGTCGTCGCCGTTGTCGTAGCAGTCCTTGTAGTTCGATTGTGTGTTGTTGTTGATATCGTTGTTGCGTAATAGCTGACGGTGATGCTCGCTTCTAAAGTTGCCAAAAAGCTTGATACGTTTCAGGCAAGGTATCCATAAGATGTACTTAAAACCTCCAAGATATAGTCATCGACAACTTTATCCCCCTCGACAACCAGGCCAGAATTGTCGAATGTGTGTGTGCGGGGGGGGCGAGAGGTCGCGTTGAACACCATAGCCGATAGCGTTGTTGTTCGAACGAGGCCCGGGCGGGCACTTAACAGAGTGATGAAGCAGCGATGTAGCAACAACAGCAAGTCACCTCTGCACAACGGACCGAATCCAGCTTGGTCGGGTAGATTATCTTATTCCAACAAATGTTGTTGTCCCACCTGGACTGCTCCTCTTACCTAACTGTCGGGCTGTCGCCGCCACCTCCACCGCCCGCGGCAGAATCGCCGGTCCCCGCCAGGCTTGAAGAGCTACGCGCCTGCCGCTCTCGACGCGAGCCGCCCGCCAAGTTCCGCCGGGGGCGGAGGCGCTTTACAGTACCCCGAACGTTTCCACCGACAGCACGGCCACCACCAGTACCTTGGCCAGCGCCTGCTGCAACCATCCCTGGTGGCTTCTTGCGACGGTCGCTGGCGGTCTCCAGAGCCCGAAGCATGCTGCAAACCGTGTCTGCGGTTGCTGCTCCATCAAACCTACTGTCGTATTCCCTGTGACCTTGAGGACGGTGTCCACCGGAATGCGTGTGGAAGTCATCGGCAACCGCCGCTGTTGTGGGTGCAGCCTACGTTTTAGGATTAGTGCAACGGTGGGGGGGCTCGGGTATGTTGCGGTGTTGCACCGCGTGGTTTGGGAGAAAGTGAGGTGGGTGAGGGCGTTGGTGCCACATGTCGTGGGGTGCGTGGCATCCATTGTTCGGGGACATTTCGTGAGTCATTTCCTCGGGGCTTGATTGCTGCTTCAGTAAATGTCTTGATGTTTTGTTCAAAGTCTCGACCACTGGGTGCTCCTGCACTACCAGTGTAGCAAGATTTGATCATTCCTCATTCCTGAGTCCACATGATTAGACGTAGATGAGAACACATACAGTTTGCCTCCTGCCCGCATGCGTAATATTTACTGATAGCCTTGTGCCCACACAGCAGCCATTCAGGTGCAACCTGACACGGTGACGCAACATCTCTCCTTCTGTGCACCTGGTAGATGATCGACTCATGCTTTGCTTTTGCTTTGTACCTGAGGCACAGGACAGACGAAAGGAGGTGACGTCATTTTTTCGACATTGATCGAGCAAACCGAGTGGGTAAGGACACCCATCACCTCTCCAAAGACATCTAGGATTCTGAGCATTCCTCCCCAAGCGCGCTATAGCTCTCATCCTGCAGCTTCCTTTGTCCTGCTGTGAGCGAACAACAAACCTTAATAGAGCATTCTCTTGTACAATAGAGCCAGTGTGCGGTGAAGAATCTATTACGAGAAAGCCGAGGACAGCGGTGGTAAATCTAAAGTGGATTTCTTGACGAGCCTAGATCTCAAACCGATTATGAACATCGATGCACACAAGTCTTTCCTCTTCAATATCGTGGTTCTAGTCCTACGAGGCATCAGGGAAGCACATGCTGTACAGTGCTGTACACGTCTGTATGCGTGAGTCTACGATTGCTGCAGCTGCGGCGTGATTCACGAGCAGTTTCGGAATTAAATTTTCGACGAGGACGAGAGGTGCAAACTCCCCGCACGCACCTGATTCGCTGCCGAGGTGGACCAGAAAGAAGGAGGCGGGTGTATGCCAGATTCGAAGACGCCCGGCGCGCCAAAGCTCATGGCCAAGCACTCTCTTGGACCACACGCGAGTTGGAATGTCTTGACAGAACCCAAAGCCGACGAAGGGTCCCCGCAGATTGCAGAATTAGCCCCCTGCTCCAACGCGCACCCAACTGATTCATGCGGCAGCACCCAGCTCATGACATCTACAGCCCTGCAAACAATGAAGGCATCTCTGGCCACGTCCCGCACCCTTACCGCTGCCGGTGGCTCTGTGCTCCTTCTCTTTGCAAGCCCTGCAGAGACGTTTCGCGTGCCGCCTTCGGCATTCCAAAGTAGACTGCCCAACAATCTTGCTTCACGACACTACCATGAATCATCCGCTTCAACTCGACCAGCAGCAGCAGCAGCAACAGCAACAGCAACAGCAAGGATCGGCTTTCCAACCCAGCGGCGGAGCTTGGTTGCGATGGCGCTATCCGACTCGGGAGACGGTGGAGATGACGGCGATGGCGTGGGGAACGGTTGGTTGTCCGGCTGGAAGCGAGGCTTGGTCTCTGCCGCTGTCGGGCTCAGCGTGTTGAGCGGCGGGTTGACGACGTCCTACTTGCCAGGGTTAACCTCTTCCGCTGCGCAAGCCGCGATGGCACCGAGCCTGATGCAGGATGAGAAGGGATACATATCGATATTCGAGAAGGTTTGGCCTACAAAATGATTGCTGTCATTTGACCGACGGACATTTTGAGCCAAATTCCATGTTGACCTGCTGTGCACAACAGAGACTGTACAGCAGCAGATCCTTCCAACATCTACAAGTATCGTGCTGCGAACATGATCAGCAGCGACACAAAGGCCATATTGTTGGGTGTTCCTGCGGGGCAGTTGCAACCGGACACCCCAGATACATCAGGTTGTCTTCCCCGCATTCTATTGATTCGAGGCATTTTCGACCGCCTCAGTTGTTTGTTCAAACCGCTCGACCGATGCAACAAGGTTTTTGCATTGTGGATCATGGTCTCGAAGCTTGACCTCTCTCCCACTCTCCACGTGTAATCGGGAGAGCGTAGATGATGATCACAAGACGGCCACGGTTGAGGTTATACCATTATCTATCTGCCTTGTTTTTGGGTGCTGAAGAAGTTAAGGGGCGTTTGCAACCTCATCAACTTGTTTTTGTGTTACCTATGCAACTTGTTTTGAGAGACAAATCGGGACAGACCGTCGAGACGCCCGGTCTGGCGGTGGGGTTCAACACAGAATGTACATGTAGACTCAAGTAGAGACAACCAGATGAAAGATGGAAGCGCCGCAGTCATCGACGGCTGCAAAACAGCTCCAGCACGGGGATGGGGTGTTGTCTGACCAATTTAACATGCGGCATGTGCATTGATTAAAAGCGAGTGGGTACATCGGTAGCGGTCGCTTTCGGGATGTCAACAGGACATGGTGTCCACCGGACAGAGGGATGTCAATTTGGGGTTTCTGGGTACAGGCATACGCTCGGCAGCAGCTGTTGCTCCGCCTATTCTGCGTCGAAATAGCCGCAGGCGTCGTTACAGCAGGAGTATTTGTCCCCGCGACAAATTCACCCTCATGCACTGCCCCTCGTTTCTTTGTTGTCTCCACTCAAGAGTGTAACGGTTCAGGGTATCAAGACAACAACAAAAGCAGCAACTAAACACCAAACAGGGCGCGGGTTGTCAAACACAGTCGTTGAATAGCAGAGAGGCATCTATAGCCCACAAGTTCTCTTGAGCGACTGCTATTATAGTATGCGTGTGCCCCCGGTCCCCTCTGCCATTTCGACAGCCCACCCCCCCGACCGTTATCTATTCTAATCCCCCCATCCCTGTACAGAACGGGCCCGGAGATAAGAAACGTCAAGTTCGGGTCGAGCCTCAACTTCCTATTTTGGGCAGAAACACCAGCCGAAGTCGACCAATTTCTTAAGATTTATTTTTCCTTGGGGCTGTCGCATGTTGCTGAATCTATTTTTCCTCATTTCTGGCGAAGAAAACAGCAACAACCCACCAAGCCTTCATGAGCATTAGTCTAAACCGACAGCTCGGTGTGGCCGTTGAGGGTGTGGCAGTGGGTAGCGCAGCCCCCGGGGGCGCGGGGGCGCGGCAGGCGCCGCGAAAATAACCACTGTCGTCCCTACCAAATAATTACATGACATGAGCTAGGTAGGGGGTGGGAGCATGGCAGCAGCAGCAGCAGCAGTGGAACCTTTCTTATTGGACACGCTCCCCCAGCTACCCCCTTGTTTCTTTTGTCTTGCGGGGTACCGCACGATCATGTTTCTTATTGAGGCGTTTCTTATGCTGTGGCCGAGATTGAGCTGTGTTTCTTAGCCCTTTTTTCTTCATTTTCGTACACATTTGAGCTTTTCTTTCTGAACAGAATTTTTCTTAATTGCGGGCCCGTTCTGTAATGCTCCTCTCTTCCCGTTCCTCCGTCTCCCTTAACGCTCTGCACCCGAGCAGTCAACTCCGGGCGTAGTGTACATCAACACGTTCGTCAACCAGCGGGACGCCTTCAGCATGAACGTGTTGGAGGTCCCAGCTGGTACGGGATCGGGATTCGTGTGGGACGATCAGGGAAACATCGTCACCAACTTTCACGTCATTCGGTGCGTTGCTCGTTATCCCGCTGTTCCCCCCCCGCCCGGTTTTGCTGTTCGGCTGCCTCGCCACTACCACCACCTCTGCTGCTAGCCTTGTCGCCACCGCCGCAGTTAAACCCCTCGGAGTCACCCGCTGCCGTAGGTAGTCGAGCCGCGACCTTTTCTCTCCTGAATTTTCTCTGTGCCATGGACGTTTCATGTTGTGAACAAGATGAACGTCGGTCACGTGTGTTTCTGTCTGCAGGAGCGAACAGGTCGGTGCCGACGCCCACATGGATTGCTGCCATGTGTACACCCACCCCCTCCGCCAACGGGGTTATGGCTTTGCTTGGCTCTGCGACGGTGTTGACAACGTTGGTTCTCTATTTGTTATTTCGCCCGCCGCTGTGCGTCTTCTCTCTCGCGAGTTCTCGAGGCAGTCTTAGCCGGTATTGTTCTTTCTTTGTTTTGGTTCTTGCTGACGCGAAACCTCTGTCCATGGGATAAGGGTCGGCTGTGACGAAACCTCCCAGAACCGAAAGGTCACCTGTATCCGCGCGAAGATTTAGTATACTTTTTCGTAGAATCGCTCTGCGCCCAAGCGGTTGCCATTCCATATTTGCCGCCCCCTGTCCCCTCAGCCCGGCGTTTCCTGCGGTGAGCAGCCATGCCATGCTCATCCGGCTCTAGCGAGAGAACCAACATAAACACACCAGTAGATAGCCAGAGCAGTGTAAAGCTCCGTGGCATCCTTGCTTTGTGGGCGATTATCGCCAATCGCACCACCGGAATACGATACAGATGCGCGGTCACGTCTCTTAGGTGCGTGACTTTTTTTCGTGTTCGTGACACGTTTTTTTTTCTTGCTTTTTCGTCTTGTCCCTCGCGCGTGTCCGCCTTTCTCCAGGGAAGCGCAATCGGCACAAGTCCGTCTGACCTTGGGGGATGGTACGCAGAGAACCTTCCAGGCGCAAGTCAAGGCGAGAACAAGGGGGGGGAGGGGCGTACTTGTTTTTTGCTTGCTCTCGTCATTTTTATCACCGGCCACGCATCTCTTTCGAATATGTTTTGGGTAGTTTGCCTGCGACCACCCATGGAAGGCGTCCGTGTCAGTTGGACCAGCGGGCAGGCGTCAGAAGGTATTGAGCAGAGATCGGAGCGTTTCTTTCAACTTTCAAGCGAACGCACCAGCACCAGCAGCAGCAACAACAACAACAACAACAACAACAACAACAGTAACAACAACAGTAACACATTTCCTAACATTTATATTGTTTGCTACCGATGGCGACCGCTGTTGCGTGCGATAGGGGTACGATCCGGACAAGGACGTGGCCGTGCTCAAGATCGATGCCCCGTCGGAGTTGCTTCGACCAATCGCCTTGGGAGTCTCCAACACCCTAAAGGTACGACCGAGCCCATGAATATGGTACAAATAGCCCACGTGTGAATGCGACCGAAGTCACTAACATTTTGGTCGCCGTCCCCCGTCTCCCTAGGTATCAACCGAAACCTCTCCCGGGGTCTGATCGACTACCCTTTTGTCCCCTCCAACCATTGGGTAGAGTGTCACGGCACACGGCGGTGCTTCTCTCTTCTTCCCTTGTTGCAAATTGTTTCGCGGGACAGCCTTGCGAACCACGCACTGAAGGCTGCAGATTGCCTGCCCCGAGGGGCAGCTGTGGGGCTCTTCGTCTCGAGCATGATGACATGTTGCTGATCGAATCTGTCAATGCGAGCAGCGATTGAGCCCCCCACCCCCTTGCCCCCGGTTGGCGACCGTTCCCCAGGTAGGCCAGCTGGCCTTGGCCATTGGAAACCCTTTCGGCCTGGACCACACCTTGACGATGGGCGTGGTTTCTGGGTTGGGGAGGGAGGTGAAGTCGCCCAGCGGGCGCCCAATCAGCAACGTCATACAGACGGACGCCGCGATTAATCCCGGCAACAGCGGGGGCCCCCTGTTGGACAGCGTTGGCCGTATCATCGGCATGAACACGGCCATCTACTCTCCCTCGGGGGGCTCCGCGGGTATCGGCTTCGCCATACCTGTCGACACGCTCAAGTGAGAGAGTAGGAGAGAGAGAGGGAGAAAGAGAAAAAGAGAGGGGGAGAGAGAGAGAGAGAGAGAGAGAGAGAGAGAGAGAGAGAGAGAGAGAGGGGTAGACAAACAGAGACAGAGGGATGGAGGGAGAGAGAGAGAGGAAGAGAGAGAGAGAGAGAGAGAGAGAGAGAGAGAGAGGGAGAGAGAGAAAGGAAAGACGAATACGGCTGACGTATGTGGAATGTTTGACGATATGCCATTTGCCTCTACCCCGCTGTATGGAGGGTTAGTTGGCGATACTATCGAAGAGCCGGAGAAAAGAAGCAACTAGATTTCAACGCGTGCGGGTACCTAAATTTCACGTTGCAACGTGTGCGGGACCTTAATCGCTCTCGCCGTTTCCGATCGGACAACTGCTGCCATTTTTTTTCTTTGCCTCTTGTCCCGTCCTGTATCGTTGCTTGCAGGACGGTAGTGGGCACCATCATCCAGAAGGGGAGGGTGAGCCGCCCGATCATCGGCATCACGTTCTTGGAGAGCGCGAGGGCCAACACCGTCGGCATCAAGAAGGGGGTTCTGGTCCTGGACGTGAAGGAGGGCACGAGCGCTGCCAACTCTGGCTTGAGGCCGACAACGCGGACGCAGGTGAAGAAGCTGGTGCTTCGCCTCGCATCGGCCGCGTTGTTGTTGTTGTTGTTGTTGTCGTCGTTGTTGTTGTTGTCGTGACATTCAAAACCGTTCCGGTCTCCGGTCAGTACCTTCTAATAGCCGTGCTGGTCGAACTGACTTCGCGTGAACAAGTTAAGCAAAACGGTCAGTATGAGCGAGTTGGTGTGTTTTCAACGTTCGTTGGCACGTTTTCCTTCTGCGTGCTTGTCTTGCCAGATCAAGTTATACACAGAGCCGTATGGGTGAGTTGGCGTTTTTTAGTGGTCGTTGGCGGCGTGTTTTGCGTGCATGTCTTGCTAGGAGTAGAACGCTACTGATTGCGGAAAATGTTCTCAGCATACGTATTCGTGCTGTAATAAATGTCAGCGGTTTCGATTTCGGCGCTCTTCGGACGCTCAAGAGTCTCTCGCAGAACTGCAGTGCGACCACCATCGCGTCAAATCGCATGAACCACACCCTCCACTTTGATTGAACACGGAAACATTAATCTGCCATCCATGGCCTCCACACAGAGACGTTTGATGTTGCTCTATCCAACTCCACTAGGTTTTGCACTTCCCCCCCCTCCCCTCTTTTGTGTTTTAACTTGGAAAACGACGGTATTTTGTTCGTTCCTGTTTCAGCTCGGAGACATCATCGTGGCCATCGACAAGCAGGAAATCAACACAGAGGCTGACCTGTTCAAGATCCTAGAATCACGCAAGCCTGGCGACGAGATTTCGATCACCGCGGAAAGGTGATGGATTGTTTATTGTTTTTCATCGTCGTCGTTGTCATTTGCCTATGCTCGTCGTGTTGTGGTTCTCTTTTGTGTTTCATTTACTTCCAGGGGTCGCTGGGAAATTTCCGGACGTTTTTTTCCCGCCTTGGCGGGCGGTCCCGGTACTGGCGGTAATTACCGCCGTGATTTGGTTTTACCGGGACCGCCGAAGGCAGTACCACCGAAAAACGAAAAACCGCTTTTCGCCGAAAACGTACCGCCGTATTGCAAAACCGCCCCGGCTGTATCCGCCCAAGAACACGGTACCGACAACAAACCCTGTTTATTTCTCTCTGTCTCTCTCTCTCTTACTGCCTGCTGCTCTCTATGGCGTGCCTCTGCCATGTCTCCCACTACTGCTGTGTCTCTGTGCACCTCTCCCAGGGTAACGGAGGACGGTACGGAGACCCTGTTCCTCAAGATCCAGCTAGCAGAGGCGCCGCAGCCTATTGTACAGGCCAGTTCACCTTAGCCTCGACCTTTGGCCAGGCTTGAGGTGGACAACCAGTGACTTCTCGGCCTTTTGGTGAAACCGGCAGCAGCAGCAGCAGCAGCAGCAGCAGCATGTGTGACGTACGACAGTGGTTCGGGTGTCGCTATCGGCGCCTGCACCGAAGCTGCAGAGAACGAGTTCTGGGTTGGGAGTCAGTAGGACCAGCACCAGAACCGTCGGCGGCCGCATAGCAAGTTGCTTGCATGTAATGACATGCGTTCTCGAATTGACACCCAGGCGTTTGGAACAGCTTTTGGATGAGATAGAGATAGAGCGGTGTGTACGGTCGGATTGCATTTTTTTTTTTTTTCTGGATTGCCGGGCACCGTCTTGAGATCTTGTTTTGTTTGGGGCATCGCTAGTCGTTGCTTGGCTGGCAATGCTGTTGCGAACAGTGCCCCTTACCCTTCGCAATTGGAGAAAAACTATCGTGTTAAAACCTGTTTTAGAGGGACGTGTATGTGCCCTTCACCTGCCGCGGTCACTCGGTGATTTTTTTTGTTTTTCGTTCATCACTTCGAATCAGCGCTACACCACACACAGCTTTTCTGCCGTGTAGCAGCTCCAATCCGTGGTCACACAGATGGGTTCCTCTCCTCCACGCCTCCTGCGGTGCTTTGCCTTTGGTTTTTGTTGTTCGCTCCCAAACGTTAGGCGACATTGCACACGTACCCCTTTCCGGAGATGAACCATGTCACTGCTGTGTGTGGCGTTGGGGGTGAGAAAACTAAACACCTTCCCGTGTCTATTTAGCACATGTCCTGTTCTGCGCTGTAGGCACGGGATCCGTGCGCGGTAAAAGAGGCATACTGCTGTAACAGCTACATTTTTCACAACACACAAGGGTGGAAAAGGGCGAGCAATCACTGCGGGAGATGGTAGGCACTTCATTCTCCGGGGAAATTCAGTGTGCATGCCCCTAAGACCAGCGCTCCGGCGTAGGGCACGTCTTAGACATCATCTTTGGTGCTTGTTGTGGTTCTTTGTTTAATCAAAGATTCTCAACGGTCCCACGTCCGTCCTGGTCGCAAAGATCCGGGAAACACTTTACAGGCACAACGCAAACAAGCTTCACAAAAAACGGAAGGTTGCCCTGAAGACAGTGTTCACGACTTCGACAATTGTACGCAGAGAACCACTCCTGGCATGGTGCTGTTCCCCCGAACGGTGATACAGCTCTACAGGACAGGGTGCTTGAATGGAAACTTCACTTTGGGGGAAAGAAGAAAAATACACAAAATGCTGTTGAATACACGTCAATGCCGCTCTCGCTGCCAATCAACCCCGCTCACCCCGTATTTGAGAAAAACGAACACAACTCCTTGCAGATCTCGTGGGGACGAGAGAGTACCCTGGTCTGACGACGAAGTCATCCCATGAAAGATGCTACCCTCCCCTCGTCCGATTGCACGGTCGCAACTGCAACCGCAACCGCCAAACAGTCTATCGTCGCCCCCCATACCGCGGGCCGATGGAGGGGGGAGGGGGAATCACAAATTCAACACAACACAGAATACTTTGTCAATAACGTACCTAGTCGGCAAGGCGAACGAGCAAGAAGTACAAGACACGCAAGATGACTGAATGTACTGGGGAAAAAATCGTGACGCTGGCGGGAGCTTACTACTGCTCCAGCTTTCTTTCGGGCTTGTCATTACGTCGCCCTTGAGAAAGCCGGTGCAGGCCAATTGAATCGAGAAGCCGTCGCACAACCTACCCTACGTGTTCCCCGCAATCGCAAAGGTTCACCGCCACCAACAACCGCCTACCCGCGATAGAGCGGACCAGCCAGTCCCATTGCTGCCCCCTCCCCCTCCAACAAAGGGCGCCTTCGTGCGGGATGAGTGAAAGGCGATACGCAATCCTTCATCCAAGAAAACGAAGACTTTCCGTAGTTCCGTAACGTATCGCGCCATCTTGTCACCCCCAAACATTTTCCACTGTCGGCGGCACCTCCCGCCACCGCCGCAACAAGACACCCTCGTCATCTTGGTCGGTTCATAGCGTAGTGAGCGACTCGCACAGCGGCGAAGAACGCCAGGAGCTTCAATCCCGACGACGTCGCTGCCTTCCGGAACTCGTTCCCCTTACCGTTAGCCTGGGATCGGACATGACATCGTTGGGTGTATTTCGACAAAGGAGCGTGCAGGGTAAGCGAGGGTTGGGTGTTTAATGTTTCCTTCGTGGTTGGTGGATTCTTGACGGCATGTTCGGTGTATTAGAGATGCCTAGAGCCTACCGGCCAAGTGGCCTTCGCAGGATTTTGTATTAAGTAAACATGTTGGAAAAGTATGTAGTAGGTAACCTTCGTAGGGTCCTTCAATTAAGTGAACATATTGGATAAGTATGCAGTAGGTAACCTTCGCAAGGTCCTTCAATCAAGTAACCATGTTGGATAAAAGTATGCAGTAGGTAACCTTCGCAGGGTCCTTGAATCAAGTAAACATGTTGGATGACGTATGCAGTAGGTAGCCTTCGCAGGGTCCTTCAATTAAATAAACATGTTGGATAAAGCATGAAATCAGGCAAGTTGGGCTAGGGTTAGCGTTAGGGATGAGAGGGTCTGTGTACCCCCTCCCGGTTCGATTTCCTCATAAACTTTTTTTCTCGCGAAGGCGGGTCTACCGGCCGTACCGTAGAATACCACGCCGTCATATTCATCAACACCTTTCGGAACTCCGCCTCTTTTTCCCTTTATGGTTGGACTGGAATCAGTTGAAAGGAAGGAGGGCAAAGGTTGACGACGCGGGTCGTCTTTTTCGTTTGCCTTTCTGCGCTCTCATTTACTGTGCCCAAACTCTGCTTCATTCGCCAACGTTTTGCAATTGGCCGATATTCTGCGTGCCAAGTGCCCTGCGGCGATGGCGAGAAGGCAGAGCACCAGGACCAAGCAGTGAATGAGCTCAACGGAGATCAAGCGCATGCAGCACGCCAGCCAGCAGATGGTGCGCAACGTAGTCACCCCAATGCCTCCGTGGCGGTGAGAGAAAAACACGCCCAAGTTAACCGCTGCTGCATGCAAAGGGCCGGCACGGTCCGCCTTGTACCTCTACCAAAGTTTCTGTTGTTGGTTGATGGGATGATACTACGTCTGGGTGTTGTGCGATAAGCTTATTGCTCTAGTTTCTCAGCCTCAGTAAGACTCTGGTCCGGAAACGCCTAGTCGCTCTCTTGGTCCATGACTACACACGCTACAATCAAACAGCCTTTGCGACAAGTCCGAAGACGCCGCTGTTCCCGAGACTACCACAGCGCGAGCAAAATTCTAGCGACACAACACAGCAGTGCTCCGCACACACAACACGCGGAGCCAGCTCCGTCTGCAGCATACACAACGACACAGAACAAGGCCGACACACAGGAGTCACGACTGCGCTATCGGCGTCAAGAGTCCACGGGGCGAAAAAACTACAGCCTACCGCAGATGTCGAGGCATGAGGGCCACTCTGCATCATCATTTCAACCTTTAAAAAGAGGGGAAGAGAGACGGTGGCGGAGATGTCGAACGCTGCACCGTTGGAAAGGCCTGGGCAAGGGCTAAGAGGTTTCTAAATGTAGCTGGGTTTCACCCACCCACTCGCGGCGGCTAGCTATACATACGTAGTTGTGGCGCACGTGACTTGTAACGGAGATCCAGAAGGTAGGGTGGTATCCTGCGTATGACTCTCTCGTATCCGCACAACAAAGGTCGTGAAAATCAGGACATCGACCTCGAGACAGAAGTGGGGTATTCAATCATTCTTCACGCCACACCAAAGTTCCCCTCGTACACACTCGCTGCAATGGCTGTCAGGTGGCGAAGGCTGGTGGGTGTGCGGCTTGCGGCGGCCATCTTACCACCGTGTGGCTACTGATTGCGTGTTTGGGGGCGGGCAGTTATGCACAGCAGCAGCCGAGCATGACTCCTGTTGTTGGCGCTCCAAACAAACGGGGGAACTTGGCCAATCGACTCACCTGCTTGATCGGCTCGATGACCCACATGTTGCCTCTCCGCCAGACTCCGCTGTTAGGCTATGTGTGGGTGGTGACCTCTGTCTCTCTCTGTCTCGGACACCCAGAACCAGCTCTCGGGAGAAAGGGGGCTCCGTGTTTCGAGGTTTCGTGGCGAAAATGAAGCCTGTCGTGAACAGGGACTGCCAAGCACGATGTGTACGGCGCGGTGGGCGTGCGTGTGGCGTGTGGTAGGTGGTTGCGAAAGCGCGCCGTATGGCAGGGACAATCGGAGCTTTGACAGCAAGAGAGGTACGACTATGAACGTCCAAAACCCGCAGATGTTGGCCTACGAGCTGGCCATGCACCAGCGTGCGCAGAGCCAAGGGCAGAGTGCCCACATCTTCCACTCGCCGCCTCCAAATTCAACCAACTGGCCAGGCCCGTTTCCTCAGCAACAACAACAGCAGATGCCGCTGCAACAGCAGCAGCAGATGCCGCAGCAGCAGCGTGCCCCATGGGGAATGGGAGGGCCAGGACCCCATGCTCCTGTTGTCGGGCCGCAACGACATCAACAGCAGCGGTGGAACGGCCCAGGCAACGGCCCTCCACAACCGCAGATCACCGGTCCTCCACGAGTCCCGCAGCAGCAGCAGCAGCAGCAGCAGCAGCAGCACCCCCGTCCGGGAAACTACGCCTCCCAACCGAAGCCTTGGGCACCCCAACCCCACCAGGTACCGCCCCCTGCTCACGGCGGCAGTCCTCGGGCAGGAGGCCCAGGGGCGACGTGGGCCGCTGTACAGCAGCGTTCCAACTTCGCCGCGCCGGGTATCAGGAAAGGCCCTGCCTCGGGGGCCGCACCACAGGGACAGATGATGGGAGCAGCTGAGGCCCAGCGCGGCTTCCGCGCAGGGCTAAGCAACAACAATTCTTGGCGGCAACATCAGCAGCAGCAGCAGCAGCAGCAAGGAGGGAGGACAAACATTGTCAACCGTAACAACGGCGGTAACTTCGTTCAAACGCCGACCCGTGCTGCCGCTGGGGGGCCGCAGCAGCAGCAGTTTAAGACAGCGGGGACCATCTCAAATCACGCGGGCGCAACACCAACGGTGGGAGCCGCAGGGGCGAGGAGCGTCGCCAGCGACAAGCCAGGTGCGCAGCAAACCTCTTTGGCGGCAGCCAGTACCGCGGGCGCAGCTGCGGGGGGGGCGGCGAAGCTGTCTTGCGAACCGTGCGAGAAGGAGTTTACCACGGAGGCAGCCCGGCAGGCCCACCTGCAGTCCCACGTGCCGTGCCCGGAGAAGGGCTGCGGCTTCTCGGCGCTTAGGAAGATCGTCAACAACCACCACGAGGCCAAGCACGGCCAGTTCAGCGGCTCCGGCTTTCAGGTGCGCTGCTCCCACAGCCTTGTAGTAGTCCCTGCCCGCTCCCAAAGAACTTGTGGTTGTATTGCATGGATGGTGTAGGGGATCAAACAACTGGCGTGTGTAGCGCCAAGACTTGCTATTTAGCCTCGTAACCGCCGTAGGGTGTGGTTTCTTGGAATCTAAGAATCCCTCCTTTTGGCTGTCTATGTACTGTAGCTTATACCACAAATTCGAGCCTCGATTGACTCCGGCTGCTTCTGACTGAGAGGTAGGCGGGCCTCCACGGTTTCTAGCCCCTCTCTCGGCTGGCTGGTACATGTGTTTGTCTGCACCCTTTATTCTCCGGCAAGATTCGGATGCCTTACAAATCGTAATTTGTCTTGCTCGAAGCAAGCAAATCCCGATAATGTAGTGGCTTTTGATATACTGTATTGAGTTCCCGCCGTCGTTCTAATCATCCGACCATCACGAGGAACTCCTGTCTGTCACTCGGTACACCCCCACCTTTGACACATGCGTGATGATTAATTACATGTGCCCTTTGCGGCTTTCTTCCAACAAACTGCACAGATGATTGACGTAGAGGGGAAGAAGTTCCGAGTGCTGCTGGGAACTAGCCCCGACGAGGTGGCCGAGTGGAGGGCTGAGAGGAGGAAACGGTGGCCGACAGACGAGAATAAGGCCAGGTGCGTTCACCCCTGCCGCCGACCACACTGCCCCCCCCCCCGTCGCCCCCCGCAAAGCTACCGCGAATCTTGTATGCGGTGGAAACGGTTGCTTGGGGAAAATTCTTCGTGGTGTAATGCACCCGTGGTTTTGAGCCAAGGCAACCGATGTGTCCGGGACTGCTTGCTTCGGGGGTGATCGCCTACCGCAACCGCGTTGTTGGGGTGGCTGGCCTTGAATACACATGTTGTGGCCAAGTGAGTCTTGCCCCCCCCCCTCTTCGTGCTCCCCCGTGCCGTGCCTCCTCTTTGGGGGAGCTTCTATACGCGGGTTTCAAACAGTGGATGGCTGCCGCCCACCTTGGCAAGTAACGGACGAGTTAGTTTGTCCGGCCCACCGCAATCCCCCACCCCGCTATCGAGGGTCTATTTATGGCCATGCGTGGTAACGACCCCCCCCTAACCGAAACACGCCTCAAACAGGAAAGAGGAGGACGAAAAGAAGCGGAGAGCTCTCGGTGACTTGGGTCCGGACCCCGGTCCGGCGGGAAGAGGCCGAGGGAGAGGGCGTGGTAGGGGCAGGGGTCGCGATAGAGGAGGCGGGGGTGGTAGGGGAGGCGCGTCGGCGCAAAGGGCAGCCCCAGGCCAAAATGGCGCGGCCGTCTCATCCGCCTGCGCCGCCGGCACGGCAGCCGGTGGCGGTGGTGGCGGTGCCGTTGTGGATGGCGAGAGCGCAAGCAACGCCGGGGCGGAGGGTGGGAAACGCCCGCGCGAGGAGGACGGGGCGGGGAGTTCGTTAAAGGTGGCCAGGGTTGGCGATGAGAGCGCGGTGGTGCAAGGGGAAGGGACGAGAAAGGTTGCGGGAGCAGGCGGTGGCAACAAGAGGTTGTGCACGTTCTATCTCAAGGGTAGGTGCGACAAGGGCGAGGCGTGCACGTTCAGCCACGACGTCGAGCGAAAGAACTGCAGGTGGGTACGCCCTTGTTGTTTCTTCATGCCCCGTTTGGGACTGTAGTTCGTGTTTGTCGTTGTTTGCTCTGGCTGGTCCGTTTCGCGTGTTGTGGAGCAAGTGTTGTACCGACCTCGTTCTGGACGCACCCGTGCAAGCTAGCTGTCGCGTGCTGAGAACATGGCCTGTCTAGTTCTCCTCTTGCAATGAGCAAGGTAATGGTTTGGTACGCCCCAAACATTCTCAGGAACGTTGTTCGGCTCTAATTGTGTCGTGACTTTTTCAGGAGAAGACGCACGGCCATGCCCCAACATGACACACGAAAGACTCAGCTTGTGGCCGCTTTCGTATCCTGCCTGACGCGTGCGACCATGTACCTGCCCCTCGCAGCCATTTCACGCACCGCCGTTGCCACAAGGCTCAGCTCCTGTCCATCCTGTGCAACGTGTGTAAGACGATACCTGTGCTTCCTAAGACAGTTGGTGAACCGTTGTTGCCGCAAAGACAAGCTCTGATGATCGCCTGCTCACCCTACCCGTCGCGCGTATCATACGTGCTCATACGTGCGCGCGCCCACGAACCCCCTCTCGTTCGCAGCTACTTCATGAGCGGCCGTTGCCACCGGGGTAAGGGCTGCTTGTTCATGCACGACCACGAGGCTAGGGAGAAGGCCAGGGCGGAGGCCGGAGACACCGCGGCCGATGAGAAGCTGACGAAGGCGGAGAAAAGCGCCAAGTGAGAAGCAGCAGTTCTACCGCTACCATAGGTTCTCTCGGCACACAATCAAATCCATGTGCTTCGTCGGCTTTTTATTGCCGTTGCATGTTCGCATTCTCTGTGAGCTTTCCGAACAAGAAATACCGTCGATTCTCGCCCCCGACAAAGCCGAGCATTTTTTTTTTTTATTGACACAAGACGGTCTTTGTTTTCATCCTAATACGGAGTAGGGGGCACCGTGGCGCGAAAATCGCCGAGACCAAGAGGCACCGCAAATACGAGCAGAGGAATCCTATGATAAGGCGCTTTGGATATTGGAGATATATGAACTCCAGAAGGATGTGATTAAGTCAAATCCAAAATTCAAGTTTGGATTGAAGATGCGAATCTCCACCAGACAATTCAGGGATAATTGTTTCAACAACGACAAAGTATATATTGACACTTTCGGTAACCAATGGCATAGTTATGTCCAAACTGCACCACGTCTGGGGGACTAGCGGTACTTCATGAAATAACGGTTGTCGACGCTTGCTTGCTTCGCACTCCTTCAGACGTAAAGCCACGATCGATCACCACCCCCAGAATAAACTAAAGAGTCGAAGACCCTTGCAGTAGGAAAAGTCATAAGTCCTCTCTTTCTTATTCTCGTCTTGGTGTGAAATCATTAACATTCACCGCCCTTTGGTTTCGAACCCTAAGTTGCACCTTCGACCCCGGTACTCATGCTCCCGATCCCTGCAACTGCGATGAATGAGACTGTTGTAGACAAGCACGTATTCAGCACCGGCGCATTTCCGCAAGACAAGAAAACAAGAATAAAAACTGTTGTGAAAGCCCCCTTCATAAATAGGGGTTACGTATTGATTCCAACAAAACAGAAATAAATGGACGGCGTTGCAGCTCGGCAGCCGCGTTGTCTTCCGTCTCCGTTGCCCGCTGGCCGGTGCGGAGCTTGGCCGCCGTCACTACACCGCTCTCCTCTTTCGAGTGCCAGAGTCAGTCGCGCATAGTATTTAGTACACAATGTACGGTTGACTCTGGCGCTCGGGAAAGAGGTGAGGTGTAGCGAAGGCGGCCACGCTTCGCAACCCGCCAGCGGCCAACGCGGAGGCGGAAGACAACGCGGCTTCCGAGCTGCAACGGCGTCTCGCGGCGCGGAAGACGAGCTCAAGCAGCTCGGGCAACAGCTCGCCGTAGCGACCTAGTGTAATCACGCCCAGAAGATCGCGAAGAAATACCTAGCGTAATCACGCCCAGAAGATCGTGAAGAAATGAATCGACTCGCCGCCAACCGGGGTCGGGTTCCGGCTATCCCTATTTAGAAGCCTTCTCGCCTAGCAAGAAGAATGTGTTAGCGGGGTGGGCGTAATGTTGAGATCCCCTTCGTAAGGGTACAATCTCCCCAGCGTTGGTCGAGGACGATTGATGCTCTCTTTTCCCGGAATCCGGTCCTTCAACCGCCTTGGCCGAGCGACTGTTAACCCTAACACTTATGCCGAACCAGGGCCCCTTTAGACCAAAATTATCGGTTGTACGGCAGGACTACCGCCCAATGAAGCCAGTCAGAACCCCACGAAAAGTCACCCTCTCCGCGGCCCCTTTCATGCCCTTCCAGGGCTAGCCCAAAAACTTTGTTAACCGAGACACGAGACAATACTTACCCTAAACCTTAACCCTTACGGCAGTAGAAGCCAAACTCACAACCAAAAAAATGCTTAACCGTGACCTGACTTTTTATTTTATTCTCCTCGTCGTTGTCCGATCCGGTGGACGGCATGAAAAACACACAGGAACAAGAAGGCGGCGGCGGAGGCGGCAGCGGTATCGGCGGCGTCCAAGCCCACCCTCCTGCGCAAGCTTCTCGCCCCTCAGCTGCACCGAGAGAGCAGCATCGCCCTCCAGGCCGTGCGGTTCATCGTCCAGTCGAAATTCTTCCAGGACGATGCCGCCGCTGCCGGTGGCGCCAGCGCCTCCGCAGCTGCGCCGGAGACGGCTTCGGCGCCACCGTCCCCCTCTGCTGCTCCAGCTGGTGGTCCTGCTAGTGCTGGTGATGATACTGGCAAGCAAACCGGCGACCTGTCGACGTCGGGCCCGTCGGCTACTCCGGCTTGTGATACTGTTGTTTCTGAGAGTGCTGGTGGTGCCGGCGATGATGCTGGCAAAGTGCTGTCGGCCTCGACGCCACCGGCCTCGTCTGCCGCTCCGGCTTTTGACTCTGCTGTTGGTGCTGGTGCCGGTGAGGGTACTGGCAGGGACGGTCTGTCGACCGATGCATCGGGTTCCCCCGCTCCTACCGAGGAGGAGAGAGAACCCGCTGTCGACGCTCCGGCGGCGGCGGCGGCAGCGGCGGAGGTAGCAGTGCCATCATCAAGATCTGCTCCCTCCCCGACTCCTACGGCAGCCCCCCCCGCCATCGCTAAGGAAGCCGCCTTGTCTGCGCCCACCGATGGCTCGTAGAACGGACACACATACACGCAGTATCAAGTGCTCGTGGGCACCTGTTTTGCCCGCGGCGCAACGCAGTGGAGGAGTGTCGTGGGGAGTGTTACAGGTCCCCCCCGATAGCACCTGGTGGTTACAGGGCAGGGTATTTACCTCTTGTTTCCCCCTTCATTCGTGTTCAAAACAGAACTGAATGAGATCCCAAACATTGTTGTGGAATTGGCGTGAAAACGCCCTGGTCAAGGTTTAGAAAAAAGTGACGAGTTTCGTATATCCATGTGTGCGTGTTTTTAAAGTTTGCATTGACCGCCCTAACCGGCTCACCATTGAAACAATGTCAGTCTCAGTGCGGCTTGTGTGTGCGTGTGGAGCGTGCGATTTTCCCAGAACCAAGGGTACGTTTGTTGTTTGGCAGTGTCGTAGGGTATAGCCCGGCGACAATGAGTAAGGGCGGTTCGGGTTGGCGCAAGGGCGAGAGGAATTTAATCGGTGTCATGGCTCCGTGGTGTGGTGAGTGGTGAGCAGTGCAGGTGTGCTTTCGTTCGGAGAGCGGAATAGTATAGGATGAGCGTGTAGACACCCGAGAGCGATACCTTTGGTTATCTCGACGAGCAGAAAAAGTAGAACAAGGCTTTAGTCTTTGCAAGGACGGAAGTAGCACATGAGTTGGGGAAAGGAGGGGCGGCTGGAGGGGATTCAATACATCATGCCCGGGGTGGTACTGAAAATGTGCCATAGTAGGTAGCGGGGAGAAGGTTGGTCACCTTGATTCATAGTCCTTTTGTACGTTGCAGGAATGAAAAAATATTTTCGCATCTGTGTCTGGTCGCTTTGGTGGAAGCAGATACATGTACCCCCAAGCAGGCAATCCCTTTGAAGAATTGGCATGTGTTGAGTGCTGTGTTGTGCGAGGGGGGCTTGAGGAACTCCGAGGTTGAGAGCTCATTCCAAGGGGAATCAGCTCCGACAAAGCCGGGCATATGAAAGGGAACAAAAAGCGTTTACACGAGTTGCGGTATGGTTTCCCGTGAGGTTTGAGTTTGTTCCCGGGAACGTCCAGCAAAGATGAAAACGAAAACCTAGGGCTGTATCGAGAGGGTAGACACTTCGATCAACCGCAGGCGGTACTTGTCCGGTTCGGTCTTGGTGTAATACGGCAAATGACTTGATATGTTATTGTGTGTCAACGTAAACGTGGTGGCGAGTTTGTATGCATACGCAGTAGCCTTCGCAGGGTTTTTCAATTAAACGAACATGTTCGCTAAACTATGCAATCGGAGAAGTTGGGTTAGGGTTAAGCGTTAGGGAAATAGGGTCTACGTCTCCCCTCCCTGTTCCGTCCTCTCGAGGACGCGCGGTCAATAGTCTAACCGCTAATGCACGCAAAACGTAAGAGTACGCCCCCCCCCCTCCTCCATGTTCTTTATCCTCACATAATCTTAATAACCTCGCGAAGGCGGTCCTTTGTACGAGGATGTGTGTGAGCACCGAGCGCGCTTCCACTCGTAGGTAAGTGTGTGGGGTTTGCCTCCCGTCGTGTCCCCGCCTTTGCCGGCGTCTTTGCTTTCGCTGCGGGGCTCCTCCGGCGTTGGGTGTTTGGTGGTGGTGGTGGTGGTGGGGGTCTTGCTTGTAGTGGGGGTAGTGCGAAAAAAGCTGTCTGGTATTCGATGCCGTTAGTCTAGAGCTCGTGCGCGCGTGGTTTACGTTCCCGTGGATGCAGTTTTTGGTGGTCGTGTTGGGGTTGCTTCGTCCTGCGCCGTTGTTTCCCGTGCTGTGGTGTGGCCGGCGCAGCTCGCGAGGTTTTGGTAAGAGTGTTGAGGCGCCCGTATTTCTCCCGAGAGGTCTTTGCGCTGCCTTGTGATTAAGAACACATGGAAAATCGGATCAATGCTATCGACGAGCAGCAGCTTGTCTGATGGCTTATCTTCGCCACTTGTGTGGGGGTGGCCAAAGCTCGCCTGTTGTGTTTGCCACTCGACATCCGCTCGAAGAGATGATGTGGCCAAAGGTTAAAAGGTTCTGCCGAGATTGTAACGATTGCAAAGAGAGAGAGAGAGACAGAAACAGAGCGAGGGGCCGGGTCTTTACCAACCACGAACACCAATCAAAACAGCACACGATCATGGTACAACTGTGCCGCACACACAGGGGGAAACCGAGTACGGTGCAGGCCGGATCCACCACCGGCATAGCTACGATGACCGAACGACGCGTGATACGACCGCTCAATAGAAAAACCCAGCGTCCGCCCACTCGTGCTCCATCAGCAAGCGCCCGTTGTGCGCGGCCATCGTCGGTTTCGGCACGAGGAGGGGCCGGCTCCCTAGCATTGGCACCCTGCCGAGATTCCCCGCGCCGCCGCCGCCGCCCGCCCTTCCGCCAGGGGCACCGCCAGGGACAGATCGGTGATAAAACAGGGTCGGGGTACCGCCGCCCCGTCCGCCGAGGGTGAGGGAGCCTCCAAGCCCCCCTGCCGTTGTTCCTCCGAGTGAGGCGCCCCCTCCGCCGGTCGACGCGTGGTTGTTGTCGCCGACGCCCCCTCCTGCGGTGCTGCTGTTGACGCTGCTGCTGCCGCCGCCGCCGCCGACGACGCGTTGATGGTGGAGGTGGCGCCCGCCGCTGGCGGTGGCGACCCGAGAGTTAGGCCGCGCCAGGCGAGACGAATCGGACGCGGCGTGCGTGCTCGGCATCATCGGCGGGAGGGACGAACGCTGTTTTGCGAGATGGCGATAATGGGGGCGGGGGGGGGGGGATCGGCGTGGTCGGAACCAAGATATGATGACTGCGTATGCACTGTATGTACCGACGCAGTATGGCTAAACGAACTATGATCCAGCAAGCTCCCCAAAGAAAAGGCAGTTTCATCTCAAGCCTGGATTTCGCCAACACCTGGACCGAAAAACCCTATTTGCTCACTACATCGGAAAGATGGCCAGTTGTTGCAGAACACGCAAGCAAAGAGACGTTCGCCTTCCAGGCCCGGTAGACCGAACCCCGCGACAAGGACCGGTCGCGTTTGGTCGGCCAACGTCGCACGCGACGCCACCACTGGACGCGTGTACGTCGCACCTCAAGAGTAATTTGTTGCTGCAACGGCTGAGATATCCAAAAGGCTACCGTAGCGAAATGTGTGTCCACAAGAAGCGTATGCCAATGCTTGGCGCATCAATTACTAAAGATGTGATGGTAGATGAATGTTGACGAAGGATGATGTATGCTTGCATGCACGCACCGACTAAGAGAATGGCGCCCCTCAATACCAAGACCACACCTTCGTTGGTAACGACCCAGCGACGAAAACACCGCACAGCTCATCCCTGAAACACCGCACGCACCTCGTGATGATGATCACCACGCCGCACACCGCTTCCTAGCGCCGCGCCGGCGGTTCCAGGCCGCCTCCTACGCTCGTGCTCGTTCCACCGGCGCCCCCCCGCCGCCTTCCGACCCTTGTCCAAGATCCCGCCGCTGCCGCCGCCAGGCTCGACGAGGTGTGCCGGCGCAGAAACCGGCCTTATTCTGGCGTTGGCTGGCCGGGCGTCGGCGAGAAACGCCTTTACCTGGGAAACCCCAACAACAGCCCCCCGCTCTCGTGGTGTTATACACTGCTGTGTCACCCTCGTTTTGCCGTAAGAGAAAATGCTTAGATTACTGCGTAGAGTGTCGTTGATTATCTTCCGCGTTTTTTTACGATCGGCAAATATTGCTACTGTACAGGCAATATGCTGTTGACATCACTACAACAGTGCTATAAATACACTCTTTACTTACTCGCCATGCCGAACACCCATCATGTGACAGGCTACAGATCATATATGGCTAGCACGACCGCAACACTATTGCCGACCACTGCCGATCTTTATGTTGAAGCCAGTTTCAACCTCTACATACTAGTAAATTGTGATACAGATACTATAATGTTTTGCATACTCTTGCCTGTTCGTAGCCGGTAGGGAACGAGCCCAGCCGTCCGGCGCCGGGGTGTGGCGGTTTGACATCGGCTCTGGTTTTTGCCTTACTCCCTCCAGCTGTCGTGGCGGCAGGCGACGTTTTGGAGTTGCGATCTTCGTCGGAGCCGTCAGCCTGCGAGATGGTTTCATAGTTGAGGTTGCTGCTGTTGTTTTTGTTGGGCATGCACATATGGACATGACGGAGCACGCCATGTGTTCAGAGTGTGACAGTTGTTTTGGTTTCGACACGGGCATCCGGGATGGGTAACCCTCCAGCTTCCGCTGCGATCGTTTGTTCCTGTTGAAGACGTCATTGCCTCTAGTGTCGTGACATGCCATGCGGGGTATGGCCGTAGTCTCCCTCCAGCTACCTGGAGCAATCGCGTATATTAAGAGACCAACGACAGCAACATCTCATCCCACACCCTTCGTGTACCCTCGCCGCCCACCAACCTCTAGCGTTCGGCCGCCCACTCCTAGCACGACCGATTGGACTTTCAAGTCGATGTAGCTCAAATCTTCGGGGTTGTACGAATCCCCGAAGGTAAGCTGTTCGTTTCCGAGCTGCCGCAGGGAGTGCACCTTGAGAAGCACCGAGTTTGTGAACCTTTTTCAACACAAAAAAAGTAGTGGTGTTGCGCACAGCGCACAGCGCAGAGGGTAAGGGGGGCGGGGGATTAAGCGCTCGGAAGATATCGTCGACCTTCAGAAGTACCAACGTTTGTCACTTTGGTAGAGCAATTGAACGACACGCAAGTTGTTTAAGCAGTTTTGTTTCGTAGGGGAAACCGGGGGCCTTAGTGAACAGGCTTCGGGGGGTCGTACACAAGTCCGGAGGGGCCCAACATTCGCACGCTGCAAGCAAGCACCTTCACCTCACGAAGGAGCTTTACCCGCTCTGTGCCTCACTTTGTCAACATGAAATCACTCAGCACACGTGACATACAAGCCCACCAGTGCTTGAACCAAACGTTCGTAGAACATACAGCAAGTACCAAAGCACGGAGAGCTTTGGGGTTTGAAGAAGGGGAGCGCCCGGAGAGAGGCAGGCAGACAGGCGAACATACCGAGTGACCCTCTCCCCTGCCGCGACCGCATTCATTTTCTTCGCATTCTTTGTCCTCACGACTGAAATTTGTTGAACGTCTGCTTCGGGGCGTCGGCGGCCAACTCCAGAGACGCCAGGATGCCCGTCGAAGGGGATGAAGCTTTCCTTCCTCCCCCGTCGTTGTCGCTATCGTTGTCCTCCGGCGCGGGGGTTTCCAGGACGTGCAGCGCCGCCCGCGCGTAGCCCCCCCCCGTCCGGAGCGCGGAGCCCCCGAAAGTCACGATGCAGGGGTGGGGGAGACTCTCGTCCGTGGGAGAAGAAGGCGTAGGCGTTCTTCTATTTCGGGATCTGCCACCACCACCACCGCCGCTCCTGCCTCCTCCTCCTCCTCCTCCTCCTCCTCCTCCTACCCCCTTTCGAGATGACGGTGGTGGCGTTGTGTTGCTGTTGTCCCCCCGAGGCCGCTTGGGGGATGACTTTCTGCTTGCTCCTCCGCCCGCCCCGCCGTTGGAGCGACCGCTGCCCTGGTTTCTCCAAGAAAAACAATCCAGAAAAAGTGAAAAAACAAAGAACTTAGCATGTAAATACTTAGTCGTGTGGCGTTCTGTAAAACAAAATTGGCACCGCCGTTCGGGCTCGAGTGCAGCTACCAAGGAAGCCATTTTTATTTTCGACACTGATTCATGCTTCGGCCAGATTTGGGTCTCGATTCCCCCGAGAAAGCCGTGTGGTCATGATGATGGCGTGAGGAGGGTCGAAGAGACTCTCAGACCCACGCAAAGCAAGGAGAAAAAATACAGCAGTGTGTGCACACTCTGGTCGGCCGATGAACACTGCCGGAGACGTTTGTGCTCGCAACATCGGTGGACGAGGTTGTTGGTTTCCGGTCAGCAAGTGAGCCGGTCTGTTTGGTTGGGGCGTGTGAACGGGATCAAGCACCCCCCGTACGGAGTTTTGTCAGCGGTTGTCGAAAGTGACGATGGTGGTGGTGGTGTTGGTGTTGGTGTTGGTGTTGTTCTTGCTGTTGCTGTTGCTGCTGTTGTTGTTGTCGTTTAGGTCGCCATAGAAAGGGGCCTCCGAGCACGTCCAACCGGCAAGAAAATTGCTCTCTTCAGGACGTGTAAGTCCAAACGAACTAGTGTTCCGGTGAAGAGTTCGTGCTATTCTCTCCTACAAGCAAAAAAGAGTTCGTGTTCTTTCGAACAGCTTACAACAGAGGAGTCGGGCTCCTTTGGGTACGCAGCAGAAATCTCTTGGGGAACACAGCTTGCAATAGTTAAGCAAAAGCTTAACAATGAACAACCTGCGCTCATAAAGCTGCGACCATGCTCAATGTTCTTGATTGTTTCGATTGTAGAATATTGTTAGCCCAAAAAACAAAAAGAGACGATATTCAACAGTCTGATCTTCAACGTGTCCTGGTACAGCTTCTTACCCTGTTTTGACTTCCGCGCTTAGGGGACACGGGCAAACCCCTTGCCCCGTCCCCGTCCCCCCCATCGCCTGCTTCTGCGCCGCCGGCGCCGCCGCCGCCGTCGTTGCACGCAAGCGCGGCCTGCCGAGGGTCCCACACGAAGCACGTGTGCCCGTGCCGCTGGTGAGGCATCATCGCAGCCATCGCCGCCATCGCCGCCGCCGAATGCTCGGTCGCCGCCTTAGCAGCTCCGGCGGCGCTGTTGTTGTTGTTGTTGTTGTTGTTGTTGTTGTTGTTGTTGTTGTTGTTGTTGTTTTTGGCGTTGCCCTTCAATCCGTCGGACGCCAAAATGCCGGCAAGGCTAGAGGAGGGGGGTGGGTCCTTCACCTTGGCTTGCTGCCCAGGCTCTCCGAGTGGCTCGTGTTGGGGCCTTTCGTCGTCCGTGTTGTTGGGCGACGGGGGTGCCGGCGCGGCTTTTGGTTCGTCGCTGCCGCCGCGTGATGGTTCCGTTCTCCCGATCACCGGGTTGTCCAGGATGGTCACTCGGAGGGGACTGGCACTGCTCCTTTTGCCTCTGGCCGCGCTGGTTTGGTTGGCGTTCAGCTCGTCGGGAGGGGGCTCCGCCATATCGCACACCGCCATGCTCCAAAGGTTCTTCCGGAATTGGAAAGTCAGGACCTACCACCGAAGGGTGCGTAAGAGCCATGCGCTACGTCAACGGGGAGCAGCAACGCCCGGGATTCACAGACGATCCGGCATGGTTTTACAATAGAAGTAAATAATGCAAGCTTGGGGGAATTCGTTATGGCTGACCGCCAGTTTAAGCCTATGGAGCTTGGAGAAGAACTCGTCTGAGTACGTGAATCTGAGATGTGCAGGTTGTCGCGAAAGGCGTCTAGGGAATTTTGATCCCCATAACAAACCTCCCAGTGGCCTGTCTATGAGGCCTACCCTTGACGCTCCAGCAGAAACAAGGGGCTACACCTGGGCGAGCGTGTGGTTGTACACTGCAAATACCAGCTGTGGGAGTAACGATAGCTGTTGCTGCACCTGCGTTCCCCTCCAGCGAACCGGCGCTTCCCCCTTTTCCTATCTCGAAGAAACGGAACGACCAAAACCCATGCTACGCGTAACACGGTATGGAAATGTTGTTCCTTCTGAACGCCATCATCGGCGTCGTAACAATGCTACGTAGTTTGGCAATGACGACAGCGTGGAGCTATGCTGGTGGAGTATCACTCTTGTGTCGGCTGAGTTTGCTCTCGCCTGCGTAGAAATCCAAGCCACCTATCTTTCCATTCCGGCCCTAAGGTGACAAAAGCCTCTTGATTCTACCTTTCTTCCTGTGCCCGCTCCCCACCCCCAAAAAAAAGAAGGAAAAAAGAAAAAATGAGATCACACAAACACACCTGAGTGTTCCAACTTTTCCCACCTCGCCCGCCAAAGATGATCAATCTGCCGGCGTGGGCGGGGTCTTCGACAGCCGTGTGTCCGTGGATAGCGGGGGCCGAGAAGCCTAGCGGGTGGGGCTCTAGGGTGGACCACTGCAGCGTGTCTAGGGCAAGCATGTACACCTAGGTGCGGGTGTGGGCGGGAGTGCTCGGAGTGACGCGATTGGGCGGGGTGCGATTGGGCGAGATGCGACCTGGAATGACACGACGAACGACGCGTCAATCTTCGCGGACAACAAACAGAGCATGGTGCATATCGGCAGCGCAGACAAAATATTTGTTCGGGTGCGGGGCAACGGGAATCTACGCGTTTCTTGCCACACATCAACATAATCGAGGAGGGAACCCACCCCCTGGTCTGTTCAACGTGGGAGGCTACGCTTCGAACAGATGCGAACCGAAACAAAGAAAAATTCGGCGAGCAGCAGACGGGGCGAGTGAGATTATGACTGAGAGGCTGGCAAGATGCAGCCACCGAAACCGACACAGCAGCAGTAGCACCACAAGAGTGCATCTTGTCAGAACAGTAGTAAACGCGTTTCAGAAGATACGACCCCACGCTGAGACCGTTCTGAAGCGGTCACCCTCCTTCGAAAGAAAACTGTCTACCATGAACCTAAGACTCCGAGGGAACGCCGACGGGACGTAGTTGCCGGGTGTGTGGAGACCGTTCACGATGTCTGCTAAAACTGTTCTTGTGGCGGCGGCACCTTAATTCTCTTTTAGCCTGGTAAGCGGAAACAATCTTGCTCCGAAACGAGTAAGGTTTGGGGCAAAATGTAAAACCAGAGCGCCAGAAAAACTGGTTTTGTCTACACCCCAGCAGCGTGATTGGCATGGGGGCGCGCTAAAGCACAACATCCAGCGACACAGCAGCTCGTGATTGAGGAGGACGCTGGGTCGTCACGGGCAGACCGTCACACCACCCAGGACGAAAATCTTGCAAAAAATGCTTGACGGTGCAGATTCTGCAAGAGTTGTAGCTGTTGATGCCGTGTTGTTGTTGTTGTTGTTGTTGTTGAGATTCGTGTACAAAAAGAAACACAGGAGAAACCACTTGCAAACAAATTTTCATTCGGGGCCAAAGTAGCTCGGCGAGATTCACTCCAGAAACGAAGGCGACGTAACCACACAAAAAAAAAAAACTGCTGCCCAGCGGGTGTTCTGGACGCAGAGAGCTCTGCCGGCAGCAAATAGCACCCGGATCGACCCTCTCACCTGGCTGTTTAGCGCCCTGCCGACCATGACGCCTCCGATCACCACAATGTGCGTCCCGCCCGCCAGGGTCGCGGTGTGGTCGAACACAGCCGGCGGGCCAGGCCCCGCCGCCGCGGAGGAGTTATTGTTTCCTTTCGATCGACCCCCTCCTGACGCTCCTCCCCCGCCTGCCGCCTCCACGCACGTCCAGGTTCGCCGGTTGAAGTCGAAGATCCAGAGCTGCGGGTACACCACCTCCATGTTCTTGGTGGCGTAGCGGACGTAGGGGGGGTTCGGCGAGGATCAGGTTTTCGGAAGAACCGGAGTATACAGGCAAGGTTGCGCCGCCATCCGCAGGTTTCCCGCGGAGGTGGCACGAGGGGCGACGAAAAACGCGGCGGGAGGCTAGAATCCCGGTCTCTGCTAACAACTTCGACATGGAGCTGCTGGTATTTCTCTACTCTCGGCTTCCATATCTACGAACACTTTTCTTTTTGAGAGACCGGGTGTTCCTTCTCCTCTTGGCGCTTTTGGCCCACCATTCCCTGCTATCTCTAAAGCCCCGTCTCTGTCTCTGTCTCTGTGTCTGTCTCTATTTGCACGCCTCTGTCAGTTTGTCTGTCTGTCTGTCTGTCTGTCTGTCTGTCTGTCTGTCTGTCTGGCTCTCTCTCTCTCTCTCTCTCTCTCTCTCTCCCCCTGGCTCTCTTCCTGCCCCCCCCCCCCCCCCCCCC